CTAGCACCTGAATTGCACCGTGCATTGGGCTCCAGCTCGCCAAGATGTTATGTTGAGAGAATTACGGGACGTGGCTTGATTCTCAACCAGGCAGCGGTATATCATTCACAGAGACGATGTAATCGCCCACAGCGACGCCGACCTTTAACAGTTGGGAAGGCTGTTAGAGCAGCCACAGGCTGTTATCGGAGCAGGAGGGCAGGAATCGCAACACCACAGCGCCCTGCATGCCGCATGGACCAAAGTGGAGGAGCATCCCCAGAACCCTCAGAAATGCTAGTGAAGTTGCCTCCGGGTGATGGCTGTTCCATTTCCTTGGCAACCGTGCCAGCCACTCAACTCGAACAGGAATGGATGCATGCTGCTGCTTCATGCCTGCCGAGTCCAACTTCCTCATGTCAATGTGTTTTGCTCTCTGTATTCCGCGAAAACCTTGCAAGACTGCTGCATTCATGCGTCGCAACAAGGCCATCATCATCGATCTCCGATATGATTGCCCCCGTGGAAAGATCCTGAATGGAAGCATCTAGTCAGGTCCATCAGCTGAGTGCTTCATTGGAGAGCGCTAGCTCGCTGCCAGGCATGACAGCACCATGCATAGTGACAAGCACCAGCCGAAACCGGCCGTCACAACAACATGCCCAATGGAAGGTCCTTGTACTTCAATTCCATGCCTAGCTTGCCAGTGCCGGAGATATGCACCAGGAGCTTTCGGGGTCTCACCACCTCAACTCCACAGCCGGCATACCCGCACAAGCACAAAACAACCACGAACACAAGAAAACCAGCAAGCACAATCAAGCAAACAAACAGGCAAGCCTCCCCTCCCCCCTCCCACGCACAAGCACAGAGACACACACACACACACACCCACACACAGACACAGACACAGACACACAGACACAGACAGACACAGACACAGACACAGACACAGACACAGACACAGGCACAGACACACACACACACACACAAACACAAACAAAGACACAAAGACAGACAGACACACACACACAAACACACACGCATGTCCATTCCAGCAAGATGGATGTCACCATCTTTCACCATCCTATGTCAACTGCTCATGGCCACGGAAGGACAAACTGACAAGCCTTCATCTTGAGTGTCGCAGCCCCTTTCGCTGTCACACGCTGAGCAATCAGACCTCGGCAAGCAGCATCTCGTATCTCAAGGGCTTTGTTGTCCAGTCACGGCGAAGTGTCGGCAGCTCACGGGTCAAGATCAAGAAGACCAAGTCGCTTTGAAGGGCTTCGGCATCTCCATGGTGGCCCTCGACGCTGAGGACACGATCATGCTGTTTGAGAACACTGTGAGAGTTTTTCCTGGACGCAGGGATGCAGGCTCTCGCATCCGACTTGACTCATGCGGTGGCGCCCAAGCAGGACGGCAACTAGAGCTACGGCACTTGTCAGCACCTAATCCAGGCTGACTAGTTGTGAATGCTGCACCCCAGATTCCTGTTGGAGGTTCCATCGGAAACATCGCTGATGAGGAGGGCTTGGCCATCCGGACTCTCGAACGAGATTCCCATCATCAACCTTGGCTCCGGCTAGTCGCGAAGCTAGAAGATCCGGAGCTGGACCCTGAAGCTCGAAACGTAGCTCTGTTAGGGCTGAAGAGTTCTTGTCTATCGGGCACGTGCCCAGGGTTTTTGTAACTTCCAGCCCCCTGTGCTCGAAGCAACTTGGATATCTGTGCACCCAATTCTGCGCAAGCAGCGGTTCTGATGCGTTCAGCGGGAGTGCCACATCTACTATGGCTGCAGGTTGAGATGCGACCTTGCAGGCTGCGCTGGCAGAGCAATGCAAATTACTCGGCCGAGTCATCGTCGAAGTTTCCAGGGATGCAGGCTGCGGCCAACCAAAGTACACATCTCAAAACGAGTCCTACAGTAACGACTACGAACCACAAGCCAGTCGAGGCGCTCTTCTGGCGATACCAAGCAAGACTGCTGCTTCGTCAGGCAGTACCTCATCTATGGGAAATTGCTCGAGCAGCGGAAATGCCAACTGCCATAATAGGCTCTGGCAATGCATTTTTGTCAACCACGCTCCTGCCCTTCACTGCACCCAGGTTGCAACAGGCTGGTCTGATGCCAAGGCCTGCCAAGCGGAGAATCGAACTTATTCTCTGAGATGCTTGAGTCTTAAGCTTTCTTCACTTATCGGCCCGACCTCAACAACTGGTATTGCCTGGTTCGACTATGTTCCACTCCGTCCGGCATACCTGACGGCCTGGTGTCTGAGCCTTGACACGTAGACACGCTTACCCGCCGGAATCTCGACACAAATGCAGGGCCTGCACTACAGCATCTGGGGCAACGTCGACAATTCCAGTGGGCTTCTCATCATCGCGATGTGGCGCTAAACAAGGACAGAGCATGGCCGTCGCCGCCGTCGCTCTTGAGCCGAAGCATTGCGGCCACCTATCGGGATGCATGTCATGGGCATCGAAGCGCTGCCCATGTCACGAAAGCACAGCCCCGCTGTGTGAAGGCTTGAGCAAGATAAATTTCGCTGCCATTCGCGGCCTCGTCGGACAGGCTGCAGCCAGCAAAGCGCGGCCCTAACCTTCGACTACTCATATACAAGCTACGTGGCGGGAAAGGTGCCGGGACCAAGCCGACTGAACATGCATGACACGTCCGATCTGCCTGAGGCAACATGCGCTTCATCTCTTAACATTGATTGCTCGTCAGCTCCTGCTGCCCATCAGCTGCCCCGTGTAGGTGGAGCCAGGTGGCAATGTGGGGAGTGCGTCACCCTTGCAGTGGGGACCATCGAGCTCCTGGCGCCGTCATGCAAGTACGCGGGGTGGTTTGATGGAGGAGCAATTGCTGTCGACAACTGCGATATTTACCGTTATTTTCCTAACTTTGTTTCGTTTCCTGCGGGTGCGAGCACTCGAGTATGTCTTCCGCTCAGCCCAACCTCGTAACGACTTCAGACCCAAGAACTTCCTTTCCCGCGGAACTCTTGCAGGCTTTAGTGTGCAGCAAAGTGTGATTAAAGCTATGCCAGCCGGGAATTTCGTATGCCTAGATGGGCAGCCAACGAAGGACTGTCTGATGCTTCTTGGAGCAGGAGCACAATGGCCCTACTCCTGAATGTCTGCAAGTATCTCGAATATCTTGCCGTTCTAATTTTAAGCACCTAAGGACGATGCATATGACAAACACTGCTGCAAAAACGGTGCTGAGTCTCTCCGGCGGAGTCATGGGCTTACTCGTTTCATCTCGTTTCGGAACCCTCAGGAACAGCCGACTTAGGTCGCTAAACGAAACAGGTCAGAGGCTGTAGGGATCTCGGCTCAAGTCTTCTGTGCATGGGTCCCACTTGATGCTGGCGGCATAGTGTGAGGTGGATTGTGACGGCTGTGGTACGCAGCAGTAGCAGTAAAACGAGCATCTGATTGTTTGTTCAGGTGATTCAATTTATGGCCCAGGGCCAGAGCCGATGAATCGCGGTTCTGATTCCAAACACGACCCGGTACCTACTGCCGCGGCTTCAAATGCCAGAGTCCGTGACTACAAGAGCGCTCCCTGCTTATCTCGGCGATGCCTCACAAGTCTGCGCATCCTCAGCGGGGATGCGAACGAAAGCAAAGCTGCGGCCTGCCAAGGTCAGGCGTTCAAACGACTGGAGGCTGGCCAAGGGAAGCGACATCTCTGCCCAAGCGGCGACATCATGCTTCCCAGCCTTTGCCACTGGGTGCAGGCCCACTTGATTGGCCCGGCTCCTGCCGAATCCCGACCAATTTCTAACAACTAGGCCATCGATGTTTCAGCACTCTAGCTGACTCTAGCTACAATAAGGATCCTCGATGCGCACACCCCTGGCGCGCAACCATGCCATTCGCTCTTCAGGGGTTTCGAAGGCCTGCAGCGGCACTGTGTTTCGACATCTTCTGTTGCGCTAGAACCGATGTGGAAGCTTGCAGGTTTCAAGGTTTTCTTCTGTCGCGGGGGTGCGGGAGTTGATGCCATATTGGATGAACTTCCGTCCCCGGGATGCTCAGGCCTGAACCCCTGGTTAGGGGGTTACGGCAAGTACGGCTTCAGGTTTAGGTTGTTGATTGGGGGGCATGGGGGGGTAATGATTTGCGGTTTGCGCAGCTTCTTCAGTCCGCTCTCTTTTTTCGTGCTGCTGCTAGTCACGATGCTAGTTGTCTTCGCTCTGGTGGTTAGTAAGAAGTCGTGGAAACCAAAGAGGGCATTTGTCTTTGCAAACAGAAGCTGCGCGAAGGTGAACCCCAGATTGAGGCCGTACTGTTTTTTTCTTTATGTTCCGTTTCAACGCTCAGAGGCAGGTGTGGACGGACCTCAATCTGGCACAAGCCCAGAACAAGAACGACTCTGACAAGCAGGATTTCAAGCATCCCACTGCCAATCCTTCAGATATCCTACTGTGCACAGGGTAGTCCTTCTTCGGCACACAAAAGATGAAAAACACAAATGCAAAACCCCAAGCATTCAGAACGAACCCCGTTTTGATTGATAGGCAAAAACCACGACCAGCTGTGGTCACAATCCCGCGCGTTACCTTCAGGAGCAAAAGCTAACAGGAACGGGCCGGACATGTGGGCCTCATCATCCTGTTCTGCATCCTCCATGCTGGGGACACTCCTCTTTCTATCTGAGGCCTATCTCTGACAAAGCAGCTGCATTCGTGTGTGAGAATATCAGAAACAGTTCGCATTTTGGTGTGTGGTTTGCTTCTCCCACAGGCCATGGCATGGCGGCAGGTTTCGTGCGTAGCCAAGCGGCAGAATGCGAACACAACTGCCGAGGTCTGCGAGCAAAAAGATTGCGAACTGTTTCTTCTGTTTGGTGATGGGTGTGGCAACTGGCGTGGAAGTCGCACTGACCTCACCACCCCTTGCTAGCAGATGCGACAGCATAGCTTCGAGCAGCAGCGGCGCTGGTGTGGGACTGGTCCGAACGGCCTAACGTGACATGAGCTCGGAGTGTCCGAGGTCCCGACGAGCAACGCAAGCAGGTGATTCCCAAGCACTCTTGATGACCCGTTGTTGGAAAGCTCATAGAGCCTGGCAGACAAGAAGCACTGCAGGTGCGAAGAAAGCATCAAGCGTTCAATTTGCCACTCTTGCCGACAATGTTCCGGTCACTTCAGACGGCCTTTTTCGGCTCTGTGTGCCAAGTCACGAAGCACAGCTAAAGCATGTGGACTGGGACGTGTCCGATGCTAAGCAGCAAGGTGAAACGCCGACTCCACCCCGAGACATGCCTTCCTGAATGACCTCTGGCGATCTTGTTGTGGCTCGCTATGGCTACAGCGGCAACATGCTGCTGCATGCACCAATTCTGCACTGTGTCTTCGGCAAGAGTTGGTCGAGGTACACATGCAATAAACAGGCCGGTCGCACACGCCTTTCAGAAACAAGGGTGGCTGTGACACCTTGGGGTAGTTGGCTCTTAGTTCGACAGGAGCAAGCCCAACGCAAACCTAGGAGTTAACGGTTCAACGGCAAAAGCCCTACACGTGGTCTCCCGGTCAAAAAGCCGATTACGCTTCACCCATGCTGGAAACCACTACTACAGAAAGCAGGGTATTTCAGCGGCCATGCTGAGAACTTGCTGGTCTGGGGCTTGCATCATGGATCACAAAGCTTTCGGACAATGCGCAGAATGGCTTTCGCCTCCTCGTTTTGAATCTGTTCGCTCGTGCGTGTTATCGTGCTTGTAATATGTGCTTGATGCCACGAAGGTTTCTACTAGGAGCCGCAGTGAGCCACTGTCTCAGATTTGCCATAGCCAACTTGCTTACCGTCCCTCAGCTTTGCAGGAACATCGTGAGCCTAGTTGTGGCGAATTCTCCGTCCATCCTGAAAAAGAGCCACATGATTGGTGCAGCATCAGCTGCAAGCAGCGTCACCTTTTGCCTACCAGACATCGCGCAGGTATCGCCGCAAGCTGGTGTTAGCTGTCTTAGTGAAACATGTTGGGTCTTTGAGGTTTGAAGAGCTCCCAAGAACCAGTCGAAAAGCCCTCCGTGCTTGCATGGCCTCTTCTAGTTTCTGAGACTCAAGGTGCTTGGTCATCCCTCCAAGAAGCCACAAAACAAAATATTCCAGAATCTTAAACCAATCAGCCGAAAGCAACCCTCTACCGCTCCACCCCGCTGCACTTTGACAGTTGGACCCAAGACTTGCCATGTGCTGGACCGATGAGTTTCGTCACCAGGTAACCATGGAACAAACAGATATGCGCCCTCATGCAAGGATGAGCTGTAGGCTATATAGGTCCTCATATCCAATCCCATTCATGTCCCCAGTTAGTCTACTCGTCTATCTACTTCCGCTTCCGCTATCTATCTGTCTGTCTATCCACAGAGTCCACCCTGCTCAGCCGTACACCTTATTATCAGTCGTCTTAACCCGACATTTGCTATGGAAACATCAACCTGAGTTTGGCTGGGCTTCACTGTAGATGGTACGGACATCTAGAGAAGAGAAAAATTGCAAGCTACCAAGATCTTCTGGTCCGTCGCTCATCAGTCAACGCCAGACTTAGATAGTAGCCCGCTTTGCGTTACACATATGTTCAAGCCCTCTCTTGACGGTTCAAGCCCAGCACACAGGACCTACTGCTACAACGGAAGTGAAACGTGAGAGCCGAGGCCAAAGTATAATCTCACACACCCTCACCTTCAGGTGGGGCAGAGTGCTCCTGGTCTGGCGCAGTCTCCGTCCCATCGTCGTCAATGATGCCACCCACCTTGTGGGTGCGTTTTGATCGTTTTGTCGTGGAAACACCCACATCCTTTCAGTTGGGCCATTTTCACGAAAAGCTCCAGTTGTCAAACTTGTGCACAAGTCATCGTAAACAGACCTGCAGCACACTTGACAGAACCACGCCCACACATTCAAGTTCTCTTCTGTGTGCAACCCAGCAGCCCAGGACACGAACTTGCCATCCTGCGCCATGAAGCAAAGACATGCTGCTGCCCACAGAGCTCGAGATTCAGGTGGTTCGGGGTTGCGACAAGACTCAGCTCAGGCAGCTCAATCGATGCAAAACGACATCTTGGAGCCCAGCAATATTTTTGGCCTTTCTCGGGTGTGCTGTCTGTGCGAGCGGAAGGACCATTCAAAAGGCAGGACCTCTTGTCTTTGTTCTTACGACCGAACTTTGTCTTTTCTTTGAGAGGTGTCGTGTTGCATTCTTGGGGTGTCAGCGGCTTCCCTTCTTTCTTTCTCTGCTCTGGCCATACAGGAACGGGCCTCTCCCCATGTGCGCGTGCACGAGCCCGGTTCGAGGCCCATCGTCATGAAAGCAGGTCTCCACCAGCAACGTAAACTCGAAGCGCTCCTAAAGCGTGCTTTCTGCCACGGTTCAGTTGCCTGAGTGCCACTTCATATCGGAACGAATGGCGTCAGTCAATTGGCCAAGCATGCGGATCTGTCATTGCCCTTGGTTCAGGCTTGGGTCAGGCCTGTCTCCAGATTGAAGTCAAAAGAGGCTTGCGAAATCCCGTCGCGGTATACGTGGCCGAACTTCCCCCCCCACCCGGTGGTGGTAACTCCTCTTTCTCGATGCCCGTCTCGCTTGCTTGGTCAGGGTTTAGCAGCTGAGCATTGGACGTGCCAGTAACTACAGTACGTGCACATATTGCGGTTGGTGCCCTGGTGCTCATGAGTCCCCACGTAAATTCTGTGATCATCACCATAGTTAATTGTCAGACAATATTGATACTTTTGAAGCAGGTTGGTGCTTCGTGCTCCAGTAGCACCTGCCGTGCCACGATGTTAGCCTTCTCAGGCGGGCCCGAGCTTTTCGCAGGGATGCTCGACCTGTATGACCAACCCACGCATCAGACACACAGACAAACACAGAGAGACACACAGAGAGACGCACACAGACACAGACGCACACACACACACACGTCGGCGGAAAGATCGGTAACCAGAACGACTGAATCAAAAACCAGCCATGATTCAGAAACCAGACGGCTGAATCAGAAACCAGACGGCTGAATCGGAAACCAAAAGGGCTGATTCGGAAACCAGAACGGGCTGATTTGAAAACGTGATGCATGGATGCTCGGTTGAGCCCTTTCAGACTGCATTGGAGCATGCACGTTATCATGCCTCCGCCCACTCCCCCATTCTGAACACAGAGCACTTTGTGCTCAGAATGCATTGGACCAGCCTGCCCCCACCACGCTGCCTCCCCTGATACGCGCCCCGTGTCTCCGCGCCAGTTTCCAAACTCCAACTTCTGATGCACGGCGGTTTCTGATGCGCAGTTTCTGATGCGCGGCTGGTCTCTGATTTTGCATGGAGCCACCCCATCCAGTTTGCCCCTGGGCCCCCTGCTTCAAGAATCCAGAATCCTTTGGCACGGGAGTTGCGCACACACACACAAACACGGACACAAACACACAGACACACGCAAAAAAACACGCAAGCACACACAGAAACGCACACACTCGTGCAATCCTCGCTCTGGACTCATTTAGCATACATGATAGCAGACTTTCCAACACAGAGGAGTAGGACCTGAAGAGGATTGTGGCTTAGCCTCTTGCCATCTTGCAGACACATACACACAAACGCAGACATGCACACAAACACACGCACACCCACACACGCAAACAAACACAAACACACAAACACACACGCGCACACAAACAAACAAACACAGACACAGACACAAACACACGCACAAACACAGACACACAAACACACTTGTGGATTCCGACAGGGGGAGAGCTCAGGAAAAGCAAAGGCGGGTTTGGGTTGGGTTGTTGTTAAATGAAAACATAATGTTGTTGATGATGGTGGAAAAGAAAATGAATGAGATGAATTCTTGTGCAGACCAAAAGGAATGGCATACGAAAACAAGGTGAGATGATTTGTGAGGGTATGGGTCATGCCTCCGCTGTGTCAGACACCCGGAATGGCACAGCATAAAATGAGATTGAAATTAAAATGAAAGTGAATGTATCCCCAACTGCTCCCGCTGGGGCGCAGGGCTACGTTTACACGGGATTTTTTCTTCTCGCAGGAGCAGGGGGTCTTCGTTGACCAGGACCCCCTCCCCGCCCCTCCTGTCATTGATTTGGTTAAGGTGTTTTAATAGAAGGTGTTTTCTCGGGGGTTGATCAACATTAAGAAAAGCTATGTAAAATTAAGGAACATTAGAATACATTAGAAAACATTATGAAATATCAAACAAAATTATCTAAAATTGCAATAAATTCGCACGCACTGTGTCCAACATTTGGGTAACCAGCATTCTTGCGAAAAGCAGCTGTCCACAATGTTTTGCTCGCAAAGAGATATCTGCAAGTTTTCGTTTCTGCCCAGGGCCTTGCCGGCCGAAGAGCTCGGAATCACCGTTCTCTGGCCAAAAATCGGGTGTTCAATTGGATCGACTGCTGGATTCAAAAAGAACGGGCAATTCCGAGGCTATGGGAGGCAGGGGCAGCGGACAGACAACTGAAACAAGCACTCAGGCCTCACGTTCGAGCTTGCCAGCAGGGCCACAAGGAAAATTCGCAAAAGAGTGCAGTTGTGAAGCACCGGTGGAAAATGAGCACCATGTCAGAGAACCAACAAGAAATTTACAGGAAAAAGTAACCAAAAACAAAGAATAAACGCACACAGCAATATAGAAACAATTGGAGAAACAAAACAAAACATCAGGCAGAAAATTACAAAATAGAAAACAATACAAAAATACATAAACATAGAAAAATTATAAACAATTATACAAATTACAAAAAATAAAACTTACAAAAAATTATAGGAAATACAAAAAAGTTATAAACATCGCAAAAATTGTTGAAAAAACAGAAAAATATAAGAAAAATACAAAAAATGTAAACATAATTAAGAAAAATCAACTAAAGGTTGAACCTTGTCAACCAAAAGCTCCAAATAATCACAAACAAAATACAGAAACATGAACACTACGAACATTACAAAACTTAAAAACCTGGTTTGCGTTTTTTTTTATCCCTTGTTCTGTTTTGAGAATAGCTATCCGGGGAAGGAAATGCTGCCCTTGCTTGCGATGTTTT